GGAGCAGGTGTGGAGAAGGCAGTTGAGCTAGGTGGTACTCTGCATCTGGTGCTTGGTGACCAAGGTGCCCGAGCCTGTGTGACATCTATGTATGGCCTCTCCGGGAGTTCAGTATTAAGGAGAAGCCTATGGACTTTGGGAAGTGTAGGACATGTCTGATTCAAAGAGAAGCCACGGCCACATGTTCTGTTTGCCTTATTAATGCTAAAGGTGTAGGGGAAGTGGGAGGGGTAGGGGAAAGGTAAGAAGGGAAGAGAAAAAATCAGAAAAGAAAAAAATGGAAACAAAGTCTTTGTAAATAGGGAAGGGTAGAGGAGGTGAAGGGAGCCTAGGGGAATGGGTAAAAAATAAGAACCAAGATATGTCATGTGAAGGTACAAGATCCCAGTGATGAATGTAACTGTACTGTAAACCTACAGTGTACCACAAATACACTAAAAAATAGTACAGTATCATTAATAGGGGGAAATTATCTGTTTTTCCTAGCCGTGCATGCTTATCATAAAGTTTAATTTATAAATTAGGCCCAGTAAAAGATAACAGCATTGACTAACTGTGGACATTTGCAGTCTCAGCATGCATTTGGTTTTCTTTCCTTGTTAAGAACTCCTACCTTCTCTCTTAAAGGCCAGGTCTTACAGCTTGTTTGTAGCACATTTGGACTGCAGCATCACTTCTCTTACACTTTGGGGCCAGTAGTGAATGGCAGGAACTGTGAGACCATGACAGTGGGCCTGGTACCGGAGATACCTCCTCAGTGACTGCTGGGCATGAAGCCTCTATGGTGTGGATATGCTGGGCAAGGGATGTGAACATCTTGCACAAGACAGCTGTTTCATCACGCTACTCTGAACATTGTGTAGTTTGTGAATTATTTATGAGTGTTTATGAATTATTGTGAATTATTTATTTCTGGACTTTTCCATAATATTTGTAGACTATAGTTGACCAAGGGTAACTGGAACCATGAAAACGAGGGCTGTATATCCTTATAGTTGGTTGTGGAAATTTTCCTCTCATCCTAGCTTGCATGAAAAAGCCCACTAGAATTTTGACTGGGATTTTTTGTGTGTCAAAGATCAATTTGTGGGATGTCTGACAATTGTACATTAAGTCTTCTAAGACCAAAAACATGTCTTATTGCTCCATTTAGGGCTTTGTTTCAGTGACATTTTATTTTTTGCTAGCATAGAGGTCTTACACAGGTTTTCTTAGATTTACCTTTAGGATTTTTTTTTTTTTTTTTTTTGGTGTGTGTGTGTGTGTGTGTGTGTGTGCTTTTGTTGATCCTATGTAGAAATATAAGCATATTTATTGACCTTTTTATCCAGTGACCTTGCTAAATCTACTTAAAATTTTCCATGTATCTTCAACTATGATTGGGGATTGATCTGTTCCTCTTTCTAGCTATGTTTTTGTTTTAAAAAAATTTTTTGGGGGGCTTGTCTTTTTGCAGTGCAGGGGATTGACCCGTGATCTCACATGTTAGGCCACCACTATACTATTGAGCTAAACCTCTACCTGTTTTTGCTTTTTATATTTTAAGGTGCATACCAATTCTGAGTATTGTATCTTCTCATCAAACTGATTGTTATAATTATGTCCTTTTTTCCTCTGGTAATGAATTACCTTAACATCATTTTTTTGGTTTTGGTTTTGGTTTTTTGAGACAGTGTCTCACTATGTAGTTGAAACTGATCTGCAACTCACTGTATAGCCCAGGCTGGTCTCGAACTCACAGAGATCCTCCTGCCTCAGCCTCCTGAGTGCTGGGATTCCAGGCATGCACCACCACACCCGGCTTAACATCAGTTTTGTCTGAAGTAATAAGGCTATTCCAGTTTTCTGACATTCATCTGTGTGTGGTACTGCTTTTAAAATTCTTTTTTTCAATCTAATGGCAGCCTTGTTTTAAATACGCTTCTTTAAACAGAGTATTAGTAAGTTTTATTCAGTGTGGAAGCTTTTATATTTTCATTGACGTATTTAATCCACTTACATTTAATTGATTTCTGAAATATTCAGCTTAGTTCTACCATCTTGCTGTTTGTTTTTTGTTTGTTCCATCAGTTCTTTTGTTGTTTTATTCCCTTTTCTGGCTTCATTTGGATAGTGAAGTACTTTTTCATTCCATTGTTTTAATCTCTTAGTTTTTTATTTATTCATCTTTAGTTATTCTTAATGATTATCCAAGAGATTTCAGTTACATAGTGATTTACTTGCATCTATCAGTGGAAGACTCACAGGGCAGTCTCTGTCCCTTCCCACACTCTGATATGGTCATACATCTTTTACTGCTGTGTGTTTATGTCAGAGATTAACACGGCATTATTTCAGTGCTAAATTGGTATTTTTAAATGTTTGCTCATATATTTATTCTTCCTGATGTTCTTCATTCCTTCCTATAGTTCTTTGCTTCCATTTGGAAATATATCCTCAGTCTGAAAACTTTGTCAAGGTATTCTTCCAGCGCAAGTCTGTTGATAAAAATTCTTTGAACCTGTTTCTGAGAACACATTTGTGTTGTCTTCATTCTTGAAAAATATTTTTAGTGAGTATAGCATTCCAGGCTGACATTGCTTTCTTTCAGTATCTTCAATAGGTCATTGTTTTCAGTGTGTTCTCTGTCTTCTGGTATTTATAGTGCCTGTCTAGAGCTAGCCTTTGATTTTACCATTTTTCCTGTGGAAAGAAATGCTTATTTTCTAAGCTTAATTTTAAGGTTTTCTGGCTTATGTGTCTGTATGTGTGTTGTGTTTATCCTTCTTGGAGTACATTGACTCTAATCAGATTTGGAATATTCTTAGCCATTGTTCATTTCAATGTGGCTCTTGCTCCATTCCCCCTACCCTTTTTCTGATTGTACACCTTCTCTTTGCATTCTGAATTGAATCCAGAGGTGTTCTACTACTGAGGTATGCTTCTTTCAGCATTTTTTTTTTTTTTTTAGTTTATTGGTACATTCTAGGTATATAATAGTTACATTCATTATGGGATCTTGTGCCTTTACATGACAGGTCTTGATTCTCATTTTTTCCCCCTTGTCCCTGCCCTCCCTTCACCCCCTCCTCCCCTCCCCATTCACAAACACTTTAATTCCATTTTTCATTTTCTCACATTTTTTTCTTTTCTCTTATTCCCCTTCCCTAACACTTCCCACTTTCCCTACACCTTTAGCCCTTTTCTTCCTATTTCACATTGTCAACTATCTCATTAGGATCTTAGGTACTATTATAGTTGAATCACACCAGAGAAACTATTTGGTATTTACACGTGTGTCTTATTTATTTCACTTAGGAGTATATCCTCAAAATGTATCCATTTTCCTATGAATGACTCTAATTTCTCATTCTTTATGGCTGAGTAGTATTCCATTTTATAGAAAAACCATGTCATCTTTATCTAGTTTCCAAATGATGGGCAAATGGGCTGTTTCCAAGTTTTAGCTATTACAAACTGTGCTGCTATAAACATAGGTGCGCATATGTCACTGTGATATGATTCTTTTAATTCTTTTTGGAAAGGTACCCAGCAGAGCTATGACTGCCAGCCTTTTAATTTTTTAACACTGGGTCTTGCTAGGTTGCCCAGGATGATCTTGAACTTGAAATCCTCCTGCCTCACCTTTGATGAGCATGTGCCACCAAATGCCCAGCTACTGATTATACACTTTTTGACAGTGTCCAACATATCTCTTATGCCCTATAGCAGTAGTGGTGAACCAGGGACATGTATGCCACAGCAGGCTATTTGTATCATTGAAAGCTCTAAAAGGTTGGCCATCACTGCCCTATATAGTATAGTCTTTTTTTTTTGTTTTGGTTTTGTTTTTACATTTTTCTCCTCTGAACTTGAGTTTGGTTATTTTTTAATTAATTTTATTGGTACATTTAAGGTATACAATATAATGACATTCATCATTGGAAATATGCACCTTTACATAATCCATCTTCGTTCTCATTTTTTCCCCATTCCCCTGCCCTCCCTTCAATCCCTCCACCCCTCCCTTTCTACAAAGACTGTTTCCATTTTTTCATTTTCTCTTATTAATTTCCTTCCCTTCTTTTTCCCTACTCCTCCCACTTCCCCTTTGTACCTTTTCTTCCTATTGTACCTTTTAGTACTTATTTACTTTGTTTTTCACACTAGAGAAACTATTTGGTATTTACATGTGTCCTATTTATTTCACTTAAGCATATCGCCTCAATGTGCGTCCATTCTGCTATAAATGTCTCTAGTTTCTCGTTCTTTATGGCTGAGTAGTACTTCATTTCATAAAAACCCACATTTTCTTTATCCAGTCTCCTGTTGATAGGCAGTTGGGCTGCTTTCAGGTTTTAGCTATTACAAATTGTGCTGCTATGAACATGGGTGCACATATATCACTGTGGTGTGATTCTTTTGTTTGGGGAAGATCCCCAGCAGGGAAATAGCTGGGTCAAATGGGACCTCCAATCCTAGTTCTTTGAGGTATCTTGTATTGATTTCCACAGTAATTGCACCACCAGCAGTGGAGCACTGTTCTCTTTCCCCACCACTCCGCCAGCATTTGTTATTGGTTGATTTCATGATAGCAGCCATTCTTTGTGGGGTGAGGTGGAATCTCAGAGTTGTTTTCATTTGCATCTCTCAAACGACCAGTGATGTTGAACTTTTTTTGATAAACGTTTATGTGCTATTTCTATTTCTTTGCCTGAGAAATGTCTGTTCATTTCAGATGCCCATTTTTGGATTGGGTTCTTAAATTTGGGAGGTCTAATTTTTAAAGTTATTTATATATTCTATGTAGTAAACCTTTGTCTGAGGAAGACTGGTAAAAATTTTTCCCCACATTGTGGTTTGTCTCTTCACACTGTTGGTGGCTTCTCTTGCTGTGTAGAAGCTTTTTAATAAGACTTGTCGATTGTTTGTGCTAGTTTATGGGCAACTGAGGTTTAATGTCTCCAAGAGTTCTACCTAACCTCACTTCCAGCCAGTTTAGTGTTTCTGCTTTAATATTTAATCTTTAATCCATTTTGACTTTAGTGCACGGTGAGAGATACAGGTCTAGTTTTAATCTTTGGCAAACAAGAGGGAGGCCCCTGGCAGCTGAGTGGTCCTCATTCAGTGCCTTTTCTCTGTCTGTGCTGCTGTCTGGCCAGGCCCCTGGCAGGCTCACTTCTTCTCTCACTTCTGTTCTGTGGCCACCTCCCCACCTTTCAGAGCCTCTGAGAAGTGTCAGTCAACAAGTAAACATTTATGAGGTGCATACTGTGTATGGGGTCCTGTGCTAGGACCTGGGCTATAGCAATGAGTAGAACCGGACAGGGCCTCTGCGTGCACAGTTCAGTCCTAGACGGGGAGATCACTGGTTATTAGTAATCCAGTAATCACTCATCTTCACAAAACGTAAATGCATCCAATGCCCTAGCTGGGACCCCGGGCCTCGAACTTGGGATCCAAGCGCTGAGGGCTCAGCAAGGGAAAACGGGGAAGGGGACAGAGACAAACCCACTGGGCCAGGACCTTGCAGGCACAGCAAGGGAGAAAAGCTGGAGCAGCGAGCGGCACCAGGCCAGGTGGGAGCTGTCCCAGCCCTCCTGTGAGGCCAGAAGCAGCTCTGCTCAGAGCCAACCCGACCATGGCGGAGAGAATGGGGACGAGGGGCAGCCAGGTGACCCCTGGGAAACATGCGGTGGCTTCTGGGAAAGGAGTAGTGTCTAATCGGATGATCTGACCGACCGGGAGACAAGGTCCCCGGGGGAGAGCCAGCCTTCAGCTGTGGCTCTGGGAAAAAGCCCCACGCTGTGATTCCGTGGCCCGCCCTGACAGCCCCAGGGACCATTTGTCTCGCAGCCACAAGCTGTAGTCTTCTGCAGGTCAGGTTAGAACAAGGTGGCCTTGGAGCCCCACGTACCTGAGTCCCAGTCTGAGTCGGGGCATCGTCTCCCTGCGTGCCCTGAGCGAGCTCTCTCGTGGAGGCACCTGCACTTCTCCAGTTGCAGAAAGGGGCTGAGTTTGTCAAGCAGAGTGAAATGCATAGCACACCCTCAAGGCCGGGGACAGGCCTGGCATCAGGGCGCTTCTCACATGGCTGCCAGCCCCATTCCCATACAGCTGTGCACACGAAGCCAATTTGAAGACCTACATGTGAGCAGCGAGGGGAGCAGAGGGTACAACTGGCCTGCAGCCATCACAGGGGCCAAAGTGACTCAGTCTCTCTTTGCTTGGGCCCTTCCCTGATCAGGGCCTGGCCCTCCTCAGCAGACAAGCCTGCCATGCCTCTGAGCAGCAAGGACTTCTTGGGTGAACGGAACTGTTGGGGACTGCGGACAGCGCCAATGGTGCCCACCATGCCAGCCTCACACCTCCCTCCACCAGCACAGCCAGGCAGCATCTGACACTGCTTGGCTGCCTTCTTCTCCCTGGTGCCTGCACTTGCACAGCAGGGCAAGTCCATCCTGACCTCAAGGCTGAGAAGAACAACAGCCGCCCTAGACAACCAAGGAGGCTACATGGGGGCTGTCTGCCTGAGATTGCCAGTCCTGGACGAAAGCACAGCCCACTTAAGGCAGAGCCCTTAGAGTACAGGAATGCTCCCTCCAAAACAGCCCCAGCGATGAGCACAGTAGGCGAGAAGGGCCCTGGTCCCCACCAAAGCCCGAGAGCCTCAGGACCAGAACACCCCAGAGCTGGGGTTTTAGCTCAGTGGTTCCGTAGCCTGCCTCGCAAGTGCAAGGTCCCAAGTTCAATTCCCAGTACAAAAAAAGAAAAAAGAATCAGATAGCCGTGGACTCTGACACTTCCCAGCTGTGTGTCCTTGGGCAAGTGGCACCACCTCTTTGAGCCAGAATTGCCTCACCTGAAGAGGTAAAAAGGGCCCCCTTAGAACATGGTTCTAAATATTTATTCAGGTCCTGGAGTGGAATCTCTAGGTCCGCACAGAAAGTGAGTGCTACCTTACCTGCACACGAAAGTGTTCAACTGAACTCCAAGAAAGATGAGAACCCTGGGAAGGCGTGGGAATGGAGGACTGGCTTGGTCTGGGTTGCGTCCTAAAAGGGTCCTGCTGGTGGCTGGGCAGGGAGCCTGCATGAGGTGAAAGGCCGAAATCAAGCTGTGTGCAGGGGTCCATGCCTGTAACCCTGGCTACCCAGGAGGCAGAAGTAGGAGGATCACATAAGAGGTTCCAACCCAGCCTGGGCAACGTAACAAGACGTCCCTCTGTCTTTCTCTCTCTCTAAAAGAAACGGAGCTGGGGACACAGCTTAGTGGGGAACACTCATAAAATTGAGGTGAAACCAAGTGCAGGAGGCTGTGTGGCTACGGAAGGACAGGGTGGGCTCTGGGACCTGCCAGGTCTACACACCACTGCTGAGCTGCTTTTCTTATTTTACTCAACTCAGGCAGTTTCCTCAGCAGCTTTGCTCTGTAAACTCTGTGTGTGTGTGTGTGTGTGTGTGTGTGCATGTGTGTGCACATGCACTCAGGGCCGGGGGACAGGCAGTGTTTCTTGCCACGGGCTGAGGTCAAAATAGTGTGAAAGCCCTGAGTCTGGAGCCCCTGGCCTGTGCTTCAGGCAGCGCTGGGTGGGCACAGCTACAAGGGTTGCCCTGTGCAGCTCACCTGCATGGCTGCTCCTGACTTGGGTCCGTTGTCATAACCAGTAAAGGTGACAGTGTCTCCTCCTGGGTTCTGTGAGTCACCCTGCGGAGCTGTCACCCTAAGGTGTGCTCATGAGAGCCCTCGACTGCACAGTCCAGAAGACAAATGGCATCGCCAGTGCGGATGGCCTCGAGGGTCTGAGCGAGCGCTCCGCTGTGGCCCCGTGGGGAGGTGGTGTGAGAACTGAGCTGGATGGAGTTGCAGGGGCTCAGGAGGGAAGAAGTGCGGTCCCTGAGGCTGCGCTCGGAGCTCGGGGACCTGGACCCACATCCCGTCACTTGCATCTGCTACACATCTGGTCCTGAGGAACACAGACGAACCTCTATGCTAGGCCTCAGTCTCATCTTCTGTAAAAGGGGCATCAGGACAGTTCCTCGCTCCTCCCAGAATGTGCCAAAGAAGCAGCCTCAGCTTGCAGCGCCCTCACCTCAGTGCGGAGGCCCGAGAATGTGAGGAAGGAGCTGTCCAGAAGAGACGAGTCCAGGCAGCTGTCCAGCTCCAGTGCCCGCTGCCTTGTAGGGCTGGGGTTTGGGCCACCAGCCACCTGCTGGGAGAACAAGGTGGGTCAGTGGGAGGCAGCTGGCCCTGCTCAGGGAAGCATGAGAAACGACCTAGTGAGTAGGCACGACGGCCTGGACCAGCACTGACAATGCCCTCGGCTGATGGGCACATTCCAGACCTGTGCTAGCATGGTAGCCTCACCACTTGTCACTTGTTTTGTGAGTGTTACTGGGGACTGAACCCGGGACCTCTTGCATGCCAGGCAAGTGCCCTACCATGGAGTATTTATTGTACTCCTCACACTGTTCCTGAGTGGCTGTGCAACTAAAGAAATGATCCTTTCTGCAACGAGAACAGTGATATAGCTCAATACTAGAGCACTTGCCTAGTATGTGCAAGTCCCCGAGACTACAGAAGAAAAATAAGAAATGAACCTTTGATTTTAAACGTAAATGCAAAAAGGCATATGCCTCAGAGTCTACTGGATTCCTAGGCTAAATCCCTCTTTTTTTTTTGGTACTAGGGATCGAACTCAAGACCTTGTACTCACCAGGCTGGCGCAGGACCGCTGAGCTACATCCCCAGCCCAATCCCCTTGGTCACGCTGGAAAATTCTTTCTTAATGCTGCAGGACTTGATTTGTTAATGAAATGTAGAGGACTTAAGATACACATGTGTGTATATAATGTTTATATATACATATATATATTGTAGACAAACACATATATACATACACATATTTTTTGATAGGGTCTATGTGGTACAGGTGTGACTCACCATGCCTGGCTTGGGCATGTATATTTCTTTTTCTTATGATGTCCTTGTTGAGCTTTGGGGTTAGGATAGTACTGACCTCATGGAAGAATTAGGAAAAGTTCCTTCCTCTTGTATACTTGTATTTCTTTTTTGCAGTACTGGGGATTGAACCCAGGGCCTTCATACTGAGCTACATTCCCAGCCGATTCTAAAATGTAAAAAATTTTATGGCTGGGCATGGTGGCACACCTGTAATCCTATTACTTGGGAGGCTGAGGCAGGAGGATTGCCATGAGTTTGAGGCCAGCCTAGGCTACATAGTGAGACCTTGCCTCAAAAAAGCAAAGAAAAAAAGGGCCAGGGCCAGGGATTTAGTTAAATGGCACCATGCCTGCCTTCCAAGTTCAAGGTCCTGAGTTCAATCCCTGGTATTGAGAGAGAGAGAAAAAAGGAAGGGCCTCTGAGGCAGGAGGATTGCCATGAGTTTGAGGCCAGCCTAGGCTACATAGTGAGACCTTGCCTCAAAAAAGCAAAGAAAAAAAGGGCCAGGGCCAGGGATTTAGTTAAATGGCACCATGCCTGCCTTCCAAGTTCAAGGTCCTGAGTTCAATCCCTGGTATTGAGAGAGAGAGAAAAAAAAGGAAGGGCCAGGGATTTTAGCTCAGTGGTTCCACCGCCTGCCTCACAAGTGCAAGGACCCGAGTTTGATACCTGGTACAAAAGAAAAAGAAAAGAAAAAAAATTATATTTGTGAAAAGTTTTGAGTCGCACAAGTTAAAAATTGCCTAAACTGGACTCAATTTGCAATCCTCCTGCATCAGCCTCCCAGAGTGCTGGGATTACAGGCACCTACCCTTGTACATGCCAGAAGACTTTGTGAAGGACGATCCTTAATCTGTAACTGTTTAATTCACCAGTGAAGCTGTCTGCGCCTGGTTTCTTTGTGGGGGGTTTTTATATTACCAACTCAATCTCTTTACTTGCTCTGAATATCAGATTGTCCAGCTCTTGAGTTGGTCTTGATGGTTTGTGTCCATTTCTTCTAAATTATCTAACACAATGGCACAGAGTTGCTTGCGAGATTTCCTTCTATACCCTCCTGGCCCGTTGGTTTAATGTTGGTAATGATGTCCCCACTCATTTATGGGTTCTTTTTAGTACCAGGAATTGAACTCAGGGCCTTGCGCTTGCCAGGCAGGCACTGTGCTGCTGAGCTATATCCTCGACCCTCATTTATGAATTTGAAAATCTGAGTTTTCTCAATCTAGCCAAAGCTTTGCCAATTTTGTGAATCTTTTCAAAGAACCAGCTTTTGGTTTGTTGATTTTCCCCTTGGGCTACAATGCCAAACAGCACAGCCATCAGCAGAGTGACAAGGCCCGTGCTCCAATCCCAGCCCTAACTCACCTTGCTCCGGGACATCCGGAAGAGGAACAGGACGGCCAAGTAGACGGGATAGACAACCACACTGGACACCAGGCCAGTGGCAACTGTATCAACACTTGGTGGGATCAGATGGGACACGGGCCCCACACTGCACGGCAGGAGACAGAGGCAGGCCAGGTTAGGCTGGGGGCTGGGGGTAGGGGGCAGGAAGAGTTGGGCAAGAGGAGACCACCTTGATCCCACAGGCACCCACCTGTAGGTGGCATCTCCCACGACTCCATACCACACAGCATTAGCACCCAGGAAGAGGCAGATGAGGAGGACACAGCAGGTGGCCCTCTGGACACGAGTAAAGCGACTCCGAGCTGGCTGGTCCCATAGGGAGAGCCAGATGTGCTTATCAAAGAAACCACGTTGCAGCTCTGCCACTAGGAGGCGCTGGAATTGCCACAGGGCTGCATCACCTAAAAGGAGGGCGGGAAGAGGCTGCAGGGGGTCCAGACTGAGGTAGCCGCCAACACATCCTCCCTGCCTGCTCCCTGCCAGGACTGGGCCTTACTTGCAGCCAGCACTTCCTTCTCCACTAGGCCACCATTGGCCTCCGTCTCCACAGACAGCCAGTCATTGACCAAGAAGAAGGTACTGCGGGCACTCTGCAGGTCCCTGACGATGATGTGCTGCAGAAACCAGGCGGGGCTGAGCCCTGTGGAGGCGGTAGTGGGGTGAGGACCAGGGTGCTGGAAGGGGATGGAGGGACGACACGGGGGCTGGGGTATCAGCAGGGTGCAGGAGCAGCAGCAATAGTAACACTTGCCCAGACCTTTGTTGTCGTGCCACACACGGATCTTCCACACGTTGCCCAGGCTGTGTGGGGTGGCAATCCGGAAGATGTCCAGGCTGTTGCGATGAAAGGCCCTGTCCCCGTCCAGGTGTCGGTGGCCACTCCGGCTATCTGCTCCATACAGCATGATGCCCACGTGGGCTGTGGTACCTGGGGGTTGAAGAGGAGGAACTCTAGGTGTGGAGCCCCCCACCGCCAACACCAGGCAAGTTATTTCTTCTGTGGTCTTCAACAAGCACCGGAAGTCCTTGTGCTGCATAGTTCTGGATACAAATTTGTTTCCCCCACTTGTTACATAAACATCAATCCAGTTTCCACAGGAGGAGCTCTGGGTTACCAAGGTGTGCGGTTGGCAGGTGACCAGAATGCAGACCTCAGCCTCCCAGACACTATGGGATGAAAAGTGCATCACAGCCAGGGACAAGGACCACCTATCTAGAACTCTGCCACCAACAAACTACCAGCCCTAAAGTTGGGTGGCCTCCTGGGGGTACCTTCACTTGTTTTGTTTGAGACAAGGCGCTGCTGTGTAACTCAGGCTAGCCTCAAACTCATTGTGTAGCCTAGGCTGTCTTGAATTTGTGATCCTCCTCAGCTTCCAGAATGCTAGGATTACAGGAATGAGTCACCACACCTGGCTGACCCATGTTGAGTTTTGAAAAATGGATAATCCAAAAAGGAAGGGAGGGAGGGAGGGAAAGAGAGATGAGGGAGGGAAGGAAGGAGGGAGGGGAGAAAATGGATAATTGCCAGGTATGACGGCACACACCTGTGATCCCAGCACTGAGGGAAGCTAAGGCAAGAGGATCAAAAGTTCAAGGACAGCTTGGGAAATTTGGCAAGACCTTGTCTCAAGGTAAAAAATAAAAAGGGGCCTCATCCCCACCCCCAGGGCCCAGCACAGCCGCACAGGTGGAGAGACAACCCTTGTAGATACAGAACTCCTCACAGTGGCCCTGGTGACAGCGCTGCAGCAGCAGGGCATACACTAGCGGAGCACTTGCGTCCTCTGCATCCCGCCAGCCTGTGGATGGAAGCATGGCTGCAGCATGGCCCCGGCCCCTGCCAGCTCTCCCCCTACAGGCCCATACTCACCCACACATTCAAAGTGCACTTTGGTGATGAGGGCGCGCACTGCATCCAGTGGGAAGAGGCGACACGCACCCCCCAGTGGGGGGCGGTTGGGCGAGAGGCGGATGGAGGCACAGCCCTGCTCCTCTCCCGAGTGGCCCAGCACGGTGAGCGTGAAGGTGTAGCCCTCACCATCCCGCAGCACTCCGCGCCGCAGCACTAGTCGCATGTCTGAGCTGCCTGTGGATGTGGTAGTCTCATCCAGCACCAGAGTCTTATTGCTAAAGGTACGTGCAGCCCAGCGCTGCAAGACAGGGGAGAGGCAGTGAGGGCAAAAGCAGAACAAAAGGCAAAGATAAGCACAGATATCCCAAAAACCCCAAGACCTCATCTGCCTGCCCCCACCTACTGAGAGCTTGAAGATGGCAGCACTCTGGTAGATGACATTGAAGACAACATTGTGGAAAGTCAGGGACTGCTTATCATCAATGGTCCACCGAAAGACCACATCGGAGCCAGCCTCCACCACAGGGCTGTACCGCTGTGGAAAGGACATGGCATTGCCCAAAGTTGTGATTCTGGTCTCAGCCCCCATCTGCCCACCTGCACATGCTTCCCCTTGGACGGCTAGAGAATTCTATGCCTGATGGACAGAGAGGACGGGTGGGGGGGTTCACTGGCTGAGCTTCAACTCCCAAGACACCCATGGTCACACCTTAACTCCCCACCTGTAAAGTAGGCTTAGCATTAGCAACAGAGTCAACCTGTCTGCGAGTCCTCATCAACTCGCCATCCTGCTGGAGCCCCCTAAGTGGACAGCCCGGTGCCATGTAGAAAGGTGCACAAATCTCACTGGGCCACATGGCCTTGGGCGACCAATGTCAGCTGACAGACCAGGTGTGTCCAGGGGAAACCAGGAGACGCTGCACAGTTATGGCAGGACTATCAGAGAGGACCACTGGTGCAGAGGGTGGGCATGCCTAGGATGAGGCACTGGGGGGCCAGCAGCTTTGCATGAGGGCTTCAAATCCCACCTCAACAGGCACATGCATCAGGCAGATGGGAGGATTGCAGAGGGCCCAAAACACACCTGACTCATGGGGGCTGTGGAGGGAGGGAGCCAAATGTGACAACCTGTTTTTGCTTTTTACAACCTGCTTCTTCAAATGTGAGAAGGGAAAGAAGGGTTTATAAAGCAGGCTCTGGCTGTGACCTTTTAGTAATGTAGAAATTAAATTACTAAGTAGGACTGGGGTGTGCCTCCGTGGTAGAGCACTTGTCTAGCAACAATAAGACCCGGGTTGAAACCCTAGCACCATAAAACGAGGGGAGAGGGAAGAGGAAGGGTGGGGAGGGGCGGAGAGAGAGACAGAAATTGCTCCATAGTCTGAGCTTCCTGACAAAACATTGTGCTGACCCCTGTGCCCACCCCCATCTAACCACGGAGCTTCTACACTGGCCAAGGGGCTCCCTCTATGCATATCTTTCCTGGGGACAGGGGAGGTCGGGTCACAGGCCACACTCACCACTAGGGCACCCTGTAGTACCCGGGCCTCCGGAACAGGCGTAGCACGGAGGCCATGGATGGGTTCCTCTGCTGTCACTCTCAGGCTGAGGTTGGCCCGGCCAGCACTGTTC